ACCCTCCAAGCTAAGGACTCCTTTGGCTATTGAAAAGCATGCATCAGAAATTTATACACATAATATTTTCTTGGACATTCAGAAAGAGTTATATAAATCCGTGTTTTATTGTGTTCAAGAATCTGTAGTTATTGAAGATTAAAGTGAAGTTTATGTTTTGAGAGATAAGAAGAAAAAAAAAGTTGATTGATAAAAATATGAATGAGGATGAAGAATATGATGACTTTTATCGAAATAGTCTTCCTTCTAATTGTCCTAATACTCGTTACAAGGTATGTCTCTTTGTCCTAATACAGTTTATTAAATATAAAATGTATTTTCAAAATTCACACTATGAAGGCAGGATGTTTTGCTAATTAATAGTGTGAACTTTTATAGAGTTATTAATTGGTTTGTACTTTTCATTAGATTAGTATGGAATTTTTTTTTAATTTTTTTTTATTTTTTGTGAATTTGATTTGAAGTACATATTTATATTATAGTATTATGATTTCTAATGTCCTGTTGATTAATAATGTGAATTGACGTTAATTTGTATAATTTTTATCGAATGGTATGAGATAGAATTTCTTAATCACATATTAATTTGTTTATTAATGATAAATTTGTAGGTTGTATTTAGTAGAAGGGGTGATAGCATTAGCATCAGTTTTAGCTGCATGCTTTTTGTCCAGGAAGGATTGTTATGTCTTCATATGTTTTTCATATTAAATATGAAAGAGTATGATGAAATTTCATCAAATTTCATTTTGAGGAGATGGGGAAAAGATATCACAGCTGATGGATTGTTGAGAAAAGGTACTCATATCCTCATAAAGGCAGTAAAAATGAATGTTTGATTCAAGATGCATATGCTATTCTTCGTTTGTCCATTAACAAACTAACAAATAATGAGGAGGAGTTCGCTAAATATATAAAGCAACTTCAGGAGGTTGATAGTGGTATTCCTTTATGTACCTCATCAAGGGCATCTTCGAGTAGATCAGTTTACATTGAAAAAATTATTGGAGCTGCAGTACCTGATGTTATCGACATTCATAATCCAAAGGGGGTCAGAAAGAAGGGATGGGCTAGTGGTAAAAGAATCAAGAGCACTAGAGAGAAAGTGATTGAGAAATCTAAAAATGGTACTAGGTTGTGCAGTTTATGTCATAAACCAAATCACAATGCTAGGTGTTGCATTTTGAGGTTTAAGAAGTCTGAATTAGAATCTGAGGTTACAGAAGGCTGATTGTTTCTAATTTTTTCTTTTTAAGATGACTAAAATAAGATTTGATTTTTGTAATGATCATTCAATGGATAGAAATGTTGAAATATTGATGTTAATTTTGATATTCATTGTTTTAGAGTTTATTTCTAATAATAGAATATATATATATATATATATATATATATATAATATATATATATATATATATATATATATATATATATATATATATATATTTCAAATTTACTGTTTTTGGTTAAAGATATTTTTTTATTGTTAGTTTTTTTGAATATTTTCTAATAAAAATTTCATGCTAATGATTTAATTTATGTATATTAATTATCATTGATAATCTCATATATAAAATTTTCACATTGTCTTAATGTAATTTAATTCACATTGTGAATCTCAACTATTAATTGTTTTAATGATCTACATGTACTATAATTCATATTGTGAACCTTATATGTAAAATATACATGTTATAATATATACTGTAATTCACATAGTTAATCTTACATATAAAATTTTCACAAGGTTAACATATAAACAATGTAAATTTTCTACATATATTGTATTGTTATTACATTAACATTTAATCGTTTAGACCAAAAGAAATGAAGTAAATGTATGAAATGACAATGTACTTTCAATTCTTTATTCAGAGTAGAAATATAATCACTTCCCCCACCCACACACCAATATCATATTTTTAATAAAACATGTAATTGTATAACATACATGTAGACATTCACATTAAAATATAAACATCTTTTAAGTATTTAGTAAAGTTCATTATATTTGATATAGAAACTAACATCAAATTGTAACATAACAAGCATGTATATGTTCTTAAAGAAATTAAAGTGCATCTAAACTTATACTAATAATGAATAGAAAACTAAGTTTTAAGTTTTACACTTCTTTTTTCAATCCTTGAAGTACTATATCCTTTCTCCCCTTTTTTCCCATCCCTTGTCGAGCAAATCTTTTATTTCTTCATTAGTCTTTTTTGCAAACTTAGCTGTTTGTGCAATGATTTTTGACCTGTGTGTGTTTGCGCCACTCAATAGTATCTTTGTCAAATATTTAATGCGTAAATCGTTTAACACACTTTGTTGTTGTTTTGATCCTTTTGACAATCCACATGTCCAATTTACTGTTTTATCTCCCATATATGTATCCATATGACACATGCAAAAAACTACACAGTCAACATGATTATCCCTCGTGCGCCAATCATGTTCACCCTTTCTGGTTCAACACCCTCCAAAGTTAAAGCTGATTTGTGATTGACCCTCATCAAGTACCTACTAAAAAGTATTTTCTGCAAAAAAAGAAATTGTCATTTTCTATAGTTATTATTTTATTTAGATTTCAGTCTATTAATACTTATATTTATAATGTAAATTTAACATTCTTACCAATTCATTAGGTGCATCACGATAAGCTCTAGAAAACTTTGCAACTGAATTCCTATTGTCAATGACATCAACCGCTGGTTCCTCTAAGTTTATGCAGATGATGTAAAAGTGATTTTTTTGATGAACTAGTAAAAAAAACTGTTTAATAATTTAAATTGTTAAATTTTGTTAAAACTATGTAATATATTCAACAAAAAGAACAATTTATTACCAAGTGAATTTTTTCAAATGTCAGAAGTTCTTTGTCATTTTTTCATTGCATCTTTGATATTTGACTCAAATTTATCAAATCTTTGATTGAAGGGGATATTTTTGTCAAATATGAAATGTCTCTGCAAAAAAATTTAAATATACATCAATCTTTAAAGAGTAAATTGTTAAATTCACAATAAGTTAAATTTAAAATTTAAAATTATTCACACTGTAAATTATAATGAGATTCGCCGTGTGAATTTTATTACTTATTCAGAACTATTGAAAATTGTATTTATTATATTATCAACACTATCATGATACATATTTTAATTAACTTACCACAATTGATGTATCAAAGAAATACCGATTCACTGTAGAATTTGATTTAAGCTTTTCTTCATAATTCAAAATATCTGTCCAAGCATCAATGACATGTGCATGTACTCATAATCCTGGCTGCATTGTTTCAATCATTCCTCTTCCAAGCACATACCATCTCTTAGTCTGAAATACCTTCTCACTTAATTTGTAATCAAATAAAACAAAAAAGTAGTTAATAGAAAATTAATTTGTATTTGTATTTTATATACTATTGTATTTAAATAAAAGATAACATGAATTATTACATGCTATTACCAATTATGGAAAAAATTCTATCTGATACTTTTACTTCATCTGGATCTACAAATTTTGATGCACATACCTGTTTTTTATTAATCTTTTTCCTACTTTTCTGTTTTTGTCTTCATCATCTTCAATTCCCAAGATATTATTGTCACATTCTGTTTCTTCTGAATCATAACGTTATCCTTCATCAAGTTTTTCATCTTTTATTTCTTTCTTCATGTGTTCATCTTCACTACTTTCATCTCCTTCCTGAAACTCTTGTGTTAGACCAAGACCAAGTCCAAGTGAAAAACTAGGCATTGATGATTTTCTAGTATTTTTTTTATCATCTATTTTTTGTTCTCTAAAACTTTTTACATTTTCAAAATCATCATAATTATCACAATTTAAAATACATTGAATAGAATCAGCAATCTTATGCACTATTGGATCATTGTATAAATTTCCTGGTGTTACCATGATTGTTTGATTCTTTATTTCATGTTCATTCAAATTCTCTTCGCTTTTTTTTTTTCATCTTCATCCCTGGAACCTTTTGCATCATCTTCATTTTGAGTTTTATAAATGAATTCTTTTTCAAAGACTTTCTTCATATCTTTCAACTCATCGCTTTCTGTGAATTTTGTTGTTGAAAACTCAATTAACTTTCCAAACTTCATTTTATCATTCACTAGTTTTTTGTAATCATTTTTCACTTTGAATACCAATTCCTGGGAAATAAGATAAAAAATGTCAAAGAAAATGATTTTTTAAACTTTTTTCTATAATAAATTACAATTTTAGAATATGAATGCATTGATGAGGTATCACATTTTTAATGCATTTTAATAAATTATATATTCACTTTGTAAATTTATTATAGAGAAAGTAATAAAATACACTTTTATATTCACAATGTGAATCACTTTATGAATTTCATTTTAACTACATTTTAAAACATATTTCTGTAATTTAACTTCAATTTTTTTAATTATATAGATTATTAACTTATGTCGAGTTTCATATCTTCATTTTCATCGGTGTCGGATTTTGTGACAACCGTCAAAATCAAGTTAAAGTCAAAGTCAACAAGTCAAATTGGTCAATTTGTATAATACTTGTATGATTAAAAGTTATTCTATGAAAACGTACATTTATATGTCAAGAATTCAAGTTGTCTCGGTAAGTCTATGTGTTTATCAATGTGAAACCGTAACAAGGGAGTTAAACGCATCAAAACACGACTAAGGACCCTTTCGGGGACTTAAAATAATCATAAACGAAGTATAACGGGGTCCACGGACCTTGCTTTGGAAGATTATTCGATAAAAATGGCTAAAAATGAACCTCTCTCTCTCTCTCAAATCTCTCCCAAATCTCTCTCAACTTTTTATAGTCATCCGGGTCATCCCGACCCTTAACGTGGCCAAAAATCACGCAGAATGGGGAGTTATATTGAAAAATAGCCATTTAGAGCCGAAACTCCTCTTAGGAGCCGAAACCTTGGTAGAAGCCTTTCGGACCGAATCAACAGCGAGGACCGAAACACCAGCAGCAACGAGGACCGAAACAGTATGCGAGGACCGAGCCTCGCCCCTCGCAATCTCTCCAAGACCCTCACACCCTGCCACTTTCGTTTCCCTCTCGATTCTTCTTCCCTTATCTCGGTTCCTTCTCCCCTCCTTTCTGTTTCTTATCCCACATTCGGTTCTTAGCTATTAGGAGCCGAACCTCGCAGGTTTGGTCCCTAACTTCCGGTTTTCAACTACTTTCGCCTCCTTAGCCCGTTTTTGACGGGATTTTTTCACCAAATTCATATTTTTATCACTTTTAACCCCCATAACTATTATTTTATTTATTTCCCAACGATTTATTAATTTAAAATAATTATTTTATATTAAAAGGATAATTACCCCACAAGTAGGTCAAGTGTGCCCACTTGCCTTCCATATGTTACCCTCCCACTTGCCACCTTATCCACATCACGCAAACCAATTCACACATCATTTCAAACTCCCAACTTGCTCCAACAACTCCCCTATATAAAGAAATCCCTGGAGAACTTCTTGATTTACTTGATCATTCCCACACTCTTACACATTTCTTACCATCCAAAGGAGCTTATTTTCTCTCAACTTCCAGCCACTTTTTAGAAGTGTTCTTGAGCTATTAATTCACTTTTTGGTAAGTATTTCCTCTTAAATCAAGTGTTATTCCATGTTTTCATAACATCCTTGATTCATCTACACATATTCTAACGCCAAAGAATCGTTCTTAGGATCATCCAAGCTTTTACGTGTTCATCAAGTGATCTTGACTTGATACTCCTCGTCTTGACCTTCCACTCTTCCAATAATCACTACAGGTGAGTTCATACCCCTACATTTTCTAGTTTTCTTTAGTTTTCAGGAGGGAATACAAGTTCAAACACCAAAATGTATTTGAAACTTAACTTGACAGCTTACAACAGAAAAGTTGTGACCTGTTCACGAACTGTTTTACCCAACTTAAACTTAATATTTTTCAAAACTATTCAATATACAAATAGTTCAGATTTATACCTTTAAAATGACTACTTGAAAATCTTCATACGGTTTTTCTACAATTTTTGGTGATTTTTACAAAACTGCCTATCACTGCAGCAACGAAATCGGACCAAGTTGTGAAAATGAACATTTTCACCATGGTTTGAGACCAGAAAAAATTATAAGAAATTTTTTGAACATAGTACACTCTTTTTCCAAACTCTCTAAGTTTACAGATTTAGTGTTCGACTTACGATGATTTTTCTATAAA